AACACTGCGAGAGCGAGTTCGTAAGAAACGGCCGGAGTTGTGGAAAAACAAGTCGTGGATCTTACATCAGGACAACGCACCTGCCCATAACGCGCTGTCTGTGAAGCGTTATTTAGCCGCTAGAGGCACTCCAGTGCTCGAACACGCGCCGTACTCGCCTGATTTAGCACCCTGTGACTTTTTCCTGTTTCCGAAGATCAAGTCTGCCTTAAAAGGAACAAAAGAAGACTTCCAGCATTGCTTTGACCAATGGAAAAAACGAATGGAACGGTGTGTGGCGAGGAGAGGGGAGTACATTGAAGGGGAGCATTCAATTGTAGAATAATTTTTAAAATAAAACTCTTTTTCATAAGCAGTCTCGTTATTTAATAGCCAGACCTCGTATAGGCAGATGGACTTTTACAGAAGGTCTCTTTTTCATGTGGTGAGCAGGCTTTCTCGCTGTCTCCCTACGAGAATCCTTGATGAGTTTCTCTATACGCAGGAGAAATCGTGCAATTTTCTTTTCGGAAAAGAGAAGGAAAGGTTAGAACGTAAATTTATGTGGCTTTCCAATAAGAAAGAAGCACATACTAGAGCCAAAATCACGCTGATACAATATATGCGATGCATACAGAAAATCTATTTCAGCAGTCGTGTGCAACTCGATTCTTTCTAATCTTAGTTCTCAGGATGATACATTGTATGTTAACAACCCTTCTCTTAGTTTGTCTCCTAGTTCCTTGATTTCCATATATCCTGATTTCTTCCGTTCACATAGATCATCTTCCTTGTCCACTATCAGAGACGGATGGTTCCTAAACTTATCTTCCTTTGATATTCCAATTATTATAACATATAATGTTTTTTGCAATTAGGCGAAAATTTCGCCCTTCCGTTCAAAAACAAACACAGGATCATATTTGATTGCATAAAGAATATGTTGAGACCAGCACACAACGTATGTCCATTGATAAGAAGATTGCTATCACTAACCATTCGATTCCAATTTTTAACAATATCATATCTTCTCCAATTTTTACATCACCGATGGACAAACTATTATTGAAAATGGAATCTGATACACGCATCTTTGTGTCGGGACATCCTAACATCATTTTTACACACGCGGATAAAGGCAACGTCACGGTCGCTTTGGACAAAGACGCATACTTGAACAAAATGACCACTTTATTGAGTGACGTAGACACATATGTTCTGATCAATAAAGATCCTACTAAGAAACTCACGACGGCTTTAAGGTCCATGCTCACCAGATGAAATCAAAAAATTATATTAGCGACACTAAGTACAGAACGTTATATTGTAGTGATGGATCACTTCCGAGAGTCTATGGATTGCCGAAGATTCATAAACCTGATTATCCTCTAAGGGTCATCGTCTCTTCGATAGGTAGTCCGCTGTATCCATTGGCTACATTTTTGCATAACATACTATTCAAATCTATTCCCAAAGCGAACAGTTACATCAAAAATAGTTTTGAATTAGTCGAAAAATTAGAAAGGTTACACATTACAGATGAATACAAATTAATTTCATTGGATGTTAAATCTTTGTTCACGAATGTTCCAATGGAGATAGCTGTCGACTATGTTATGAACAGTGGGATTTCATTTCCAGGGATTGCCCTCTTCCGAAAGAGGAGCAATAAAGTTCATTCTCGATTCCACATTTTTTTCATTTAACAATGTGATTTATAAGCAAAGCTTCGGCACTCCCATGGGCTCTCCTTTATCACCTGTAATAACGGATTTGGTGATGAGGAGACTTGAGACAGTGTCCTTGATGTCGTTGGACTTAGATGTAGTATTTTATTTCAGATACGTGACATTTGTACTGCGGTTGTTTCTTCGAAAATTGATTTATTCAATTTAACTTATTCCATCCGCGTTTGCAATTTACTTCAGAAGGGGGGGGGGAGATAAAATTAATTTTCTGGATGTTACTATATCTATTAATGGGAACGGGTTTGATTTTGATTGGTACCGTAAGCCGACCTTTTCAGGGAAATTTTTGAATTTCAATTCTAATCATCTCATGGCACAAAAGAGAGGGACGATTCTTTCGCTGGTTGACAGAGCTTTTTTATTATCAGACTTTAGGTTTCATACACAGAATTTGACGTTTATTATCAACATTTTATTAGACAACGACTATCCACTGACTTCATTTTTGACACAGTCAATCAACGTATAAAAAATTTAATTAGAAATAGACACATAACACATAGAGTTTTGGCTGACAATGTCAGAACGAATGAATCTGTTTCTTGGCTTACGGTACCATTTATCCCTTTCCACACGGAAAAGTTCAAACGTTTCAATAAAAACGACATCAGAGTATCTTTCCGTAGTCCCAATAAATTGAGCAAATACATTAAAGTATAGAAAGATATTTGTCCACATATATCGACGAGCAATGTGATCTACAAGATTTCGTGTAATAATTGTGACGCGTCATACGTGGGACGAGCAGGAAATTAAAAACCAGGATTGCTGAACATCGCAATCACATTAGATACAACACTTCTGGCCATTCTGTCATAATGGAACATAGGAGACAGCTTGACGAATTCCAATGGGATGAAGTCGTAATTTTAGAAGAAGAGCCTTGTTATCGGAGACGTTTGGTTTCCGAGATATCAGGAAGCAGAAGAATGGTCTCAATTTGACAAACTGACACCGATGGCCTCCACAAGGCTTATATTCCCATCATAAATAAAGTTTGACTTTCTGATACTAATAGTCCGTCTCCTCTCTCAGTCTGTGTTGATTCGCACTACTGAACGTACATAATAATCGACACATAATGTCTGTCTTACACATCTGCGTTCCTTCTTTCTGTATATATTCCAAAAGTTTTTTATTCCTTTTGGACACGCTTGTTTGAATTTTTTGACATGATTTCTGGTGAGTTTTTATTATTTTTTATTAGATTTCCGGTATATTAATTTATTTACGCGTAGATCTTTTTGTGGTAAGTTTTTAATTTATCTTTTTTATCAACTAGAGCTTTGCCAAGATATTTTTAATACATTTGACTGTTTAATCGTACGGAAATAATGTCGAACTCTACATCAAGACTCACTTAAACTGTGAATGTTTTGAATATGCGATCATTTGCGATAATTGATTTCATTCTGCGATTTTTTCGTTATGTTAATGTCTGAAGAGGGCTCGATTCGGTAGCCGAAACTTGTAACTTGTAATTATTTTCTAAATTTTGATTTTATTTTTGCTTTATGTAATTTTACTTCTGTTAATTGTAATATAATATATTCTTTTGTTAATTTCAAAGAAATGTGTCGACTCTTACTTTGCCCGTTATTTGTTATTAT